GGCTTGCAAACCAGGGCTCGGGGCTGCACAGGGTGCTGTGCATTTGATTTGACTTTACCTTCATGTTTTCATTGTCTCCTCAGTCCTCGTAATCCCTCTCTCTTTGGGAGAGGCTTCTCTAGCGGCTTTTTTCTGCATTCAGTAGATTTTAAAACAGTCTCACAGTTTCGTTGCAAACGAATTCATTATGCTCGCCTGTGCAAGCTGTGAAACTGCACACACACACCTTTAGTCTGAAACTGTCAGAAGTAATTCAGGGACAAAAGATAAGGGATTCTTGAGGCGACTTATCCACACCCTGCAGGACTGCATCCCAACAGTGAGGATCTTGGGATTTAAGCTTGATAAGAGAGGATGGACGTCTCACCAATATACATTTGTAACTATTCTGAGTGGTATTTGAGGATGTGCATCTTTACATGGGCTGGGTCCTCCAGATTCTGCCGTGAACCTGTCATGTCACCCCTATAATTCAAATCACAACATCTCGTGTGCAGCTCTGCTTTGCTGGGGTGGCTTCGACCTTCTGGTGCTTGGCTTTGCTGTTGTGCCTTCCTCTCATCTTGGGTTTGCAGCTTCCCCCAACTCCTGTCATCTCCTCACATCCTTCCTCTGTAGGTCTGGACTTAAAACCGAGGGGTATTGCTGCTTCTCTGGTCTTCTGAGATGTCACATGTTAATTCTTTGCCCGCAGCCCATTTCTTAACAGCAAACACTAAAAACCAGTTGTGCATCATTTAGGATACAGCACTTGGAGAACTCAGAGGTTGAGCTTTAAACTGCTGTTGCAGATGCCAGCTTAAAATGAAACAATTCTGGAAAAAGTCATCCGAAGTTGTTTAATCTTTTCCAAGGAGGCGTCTAAAGAATAACTCCATTTTTCTCCATATTCAAAACATTCTCACAACAACTCGCATTGTTGCCATGTTTGGGAACATGACTTCGAATTTGGCAAAATGTGCTTTTTGTTGTCTTCTCTCTCTACCTATTGCAGTTCTTCTGCAAAACTTGCCCAAATTTGGCTAAAAGAAGAAATATACCAATGCATACCAGGGGCCAGGTGCTGCTGGGGGTCTGGACAGTGACAGGTGGTAGCTTTAGCCCCTTCTCTTATATTTGGTGGGGGCTCTAGCCCCTTGTCTTCCATTTGGTTGTGATTTTAACCTCTTGTCTTTCATTCCTCCTCTTTCCCCCACCTGTGAATGTGTCATTTTCTTTGCAAGTATTGTTGAAGTAAATTAAATTCTAAATTGATTCTTGCCTGTTGGGCACTTCGAAGTGGGAAACGTTGCTATATAACGCAATAACTCCAGCCTCGTCACTGGCTTGGCATTTGAAGTATATTCATTGGTGTTCAGGAAAATCTGCAGATCCACATGATGGTTTTTAAAGAAAACCAACCAGCAATAATTACTGCTCTGACTTCAGAGCAGAGCTTGAACAGCATCCAATAAATAAGGCTGTGGTCCAGCATGGATGCAACAAAGCAGTGAGGAGCCACTCACGAATTCTGCACAGGATCAAGTGGGAATTCCCTCTACATCCTGCTTTTTTTTTATCATTTAGTGCCCAAATCTGTATCCTGCTGCCCGTGTGCCTGTTGCTGAGCTCACGCTGAGACTTACTATTTTCCTGATTTCTGCAATATGCTGTGTTTGTTTGTGATCCTTGCTTGTAACTGCAGGGAAAAATCAGAGTCCTACCAGGAGTTTTGCCCATTTGTTTAGGGTTTTTTAGGGTCCAGGATCTAAACTGACACCAGTCACTTGAAAAATGATAAAACTATTAAGTCCCATCCGTGTCTCAAAAGCTAAGACATACAACTGAAAGTAAAGGAAAGCATTGGTCTTTTCTAATGACTCCTTTATTGCCCAGGAGGAGAAAGAAAGAAGCAGCGACAGAGATGGGGAGAGCAGCACAAGAAGTTTGCCCATTATATGAATTACAGACAGGCTGACAAATTCTTCAAGTCATCTTAATCTGTTTTTCTCTGCACCCGGAAGGAGAAAATGACCATTTAATTATTAGGATTAAAAATAACCTTACTAACCGAGAGAGTCACATGAGTGCAGTTTGGCTTGTAGTTCGATTTGTTGCAGCATGGATGCAGTTGAGACAGAGGTGCTATTTAGTGTTTTATTGGATGGACTCAATGTAATGAAGAACCATGTGTCTTCATCAAAGCAGAGCAGCCTGGGAGCTCTGTTTATCATTGCGCAGGGGAGTGTGTGGGATTTTGGGATGCTTGAGCGATTGGTTTTGCCCAAGGGTGGAAAAAGGAGGCTGAAAAAGAAGCTGGGTGCTTCCTGTGCAGCTGGGATGTCGAAGCATCTTCTGGAAGCACAGTGTTTTGAACTATTCCCAATCTGTCTGACTTCTTGGCAGCTTTTTGCTGGGAGCAGGCGGGTGGCTCTGGAGCTGCCCTCACACTGTGTCCACTTGTGAGAAACCCAAACTGGGGACACCGTTTGAGGTGCATATTTTGATCACATGGGAAGAATAGGAATTTGGGGGAAACCCAGGGTTAGTCACCAAAATGCAGCTGCCAGCCTTTACTCTGGGCAAGTAGTGAAGACGTGAGACTTTTATTTTACTTTATGTTCTGTCTACATTAAAAACACCTGTGTGTCCTCCATTGATATTGACTACTTTCTTACAGCTGATAGAAAAACATAAGGTTTGAATGCTTAAGGTTTGAAGGCTGCATCTCTGCAAAGGCAGCTGTGCTGTAAATGAAATATCAATACTGAGTTCAGTAGCACTCAAGGCTTTGGCAGAAGCATGGCATTTTTGGATGGTTTCTTCTTGCCGTGAGTATCACCTGTATTATATTCAGTATTTGCCTTCTGGAGATGTCAGAGGAAGGTGCACACATCTGTTAATCTCCATTAAATGATCATTATTGCTTTGCATTTCTTTTGGCTTCTGCATCTGGTTAATGTATCAAAGCAAGCAATTTATTTCCTGCATGGAAGCTGCCCTGCATAGGCTGCCAGCAAGCAACAGCAAAGGGATGAAATCCCTTTTCTTTAGGACTGTCAGACCCTCTGTTTTCAAGGGAGGTGGCTTTGGCTCTGCTCTGTCAAGTTTATTGTCAGGTGCTTCATGTTCCAGATTGCTTTATTGCACAGCAGGAGAATGGGACACTTGCTCTGGTGCAATCAATTGTAATTAGGCAGGACATTTGTCCTGTAGCATACTGAAGGAGAGGCAGCCAGGTTCACTTGCAGGCATGTCAAAGGCTTTCGCCTTTCAATTGCTTAAAACATTCTTATGGGGAATAAAACTAGCCTGAAGGCAAATGTTAAATGAGCATGTAAATCCTTGTTTCTTAAACCAGCCAAGTTTTGGTGTTTATTGTTGAATGCCTCCAAAGTTGAGCAGTTCTCGTGTAGAAGATCCTTATGGAATTCATCAAAAGAAACTCTTGTTGTTTTTCTTTTTGCTGACAACCAAACCCTAAACCACCTCTGGGGAATGGGAAACACAAACTCTGATCTTTCTCTTTTTGAGTTAGCCATGAGACTGAAACAACTCGGAATTTGAGCATCTCTGGTTGTCTGCTCAGCTCTGTAGCTGTGCCTTGAAACTCAAAGGTAGGATAACCATTCACAAGCCAAATAACTTCAGCCTTTATGCTCCCTTCTGTAAGTAAAACGAGTTTGCTTTAGCTTTAGTTTTGTAGGGCATTGTCATACGTATTCTTGATTATATCCAAATATTTTGGTGAGAAGTCTCCATACTTATAAAGTTAGTTCTTCAATTTCATCACCATTACGTTTCTGGTGTACCAAGAGAAATGGTTGATGCTGTGAAGGACCACAAAGACTGCATTAAAACATTGTGGGCAGTATTTTTTGCCTTCATCTCGATTCTCAAAGTCTGCTGTGACACCTGGGCATGGTTTGGGAAGCAGGCTGTGTGCCCATGGAGGCTGGGATAACACTTCTGTGTCTTACTGCCAGCAGCTCTTTCCAGCTCCAGGGCAATTCTTCCCAGCCTTCATTGCTGCTCTGCGGGATTTTTGTCTCCTCTTCCTCTCTGCCCCACGTGTGAGGAAGCGTTGACTTATGGCCATGCACCAGAGTGAGCAAACAATGTGTTTTTTATAAATAAGACTTTTTAGGAAAATAAACGGTGCATGGGGGCATATATGCTTTTGACCCGAAGTGGATGATGCACATGGCTTGCTTTGGGAGCAACGTTTGCAGCAATGGGGCAGATCTCAGAATGCTTCTGAGTAGTGGTATTATTTGTGTCCTACTGCTCAGATTTCTTTTCCTTTTCTCTGAAAACAGCTTCGTGAGCTGGAAGTGAGGTACCGCCTTCTCTTTGCTGCTATTTGTTGTAGAGCTGTGGCAGAAAAATCCACATGTGTTATTGAAGCATTCCAGGCCATGTTTAGTGTCCAGCATATAAATATAGGTGGTTCTGGATCAAACAAACCACAAACTGGTCCTGACTGCTTTCTTTCTATTCACCTTTTGCTTTTAAATCCCCCTTGCATGTCTCCTCTTGGCAGGGTTGGCAAGCAGACAGAACAGAGTTGCTGTCCTAGGGTGAAATGCTCACAAACAAAAGGTTCTGTAGGATGTGAATTAAATAACAGCCATGGGTCAAAGTAATTTTCCTTTTGGTAATAGCTGTGTTATTCACGGATGAGTGTGCTCGGGGATTAGTTGCTTGGTGAAAATGAGCAAAATTGCTCCATGGTTTTCATCTGTGGTGTTACAGACCTAAACCTTTTTCCTTTTTAATTAAAGAAGAAAAGAAGAAAATTTCACCTGGAGTATAATACATGAAGCAAATGAGTTTAGTATACTACGATTTCCTGACAGATGCTCCACTGAGAAAACTCAAGCGTTGAAAGCTTATATATGCAAGGCTTTTACAGCTTTTCTGAGGTTACATGCTCCTCTTCATAGTGTTTTGCTTTGTCTGAAGGAAATTTTCCCCTTTTAAATAGCTTTTTGTTTGTTTGTTTGTTTCCCTTCACACAGATGGGAAGGTTGAAGTGACGAAGGAAGGCGTGAAGCTGTGCACCATGGGACCAGGCAAGGTGTTCGGGGAGTTGGCCATCCTCTACAACTGCACTCGAACAGCAACTGTCAAAAGTAAGATCATTTCTGAACTTCGCTGTTGAATGGCTTAGGATTTCCCTGGGAAGCAGGTTTCTCCTCGTCTTCCCTTTGGAGTTGCAGCTTCTGTTAGATGCTGAGCTTGCCTAATTAATTAAACTCTCTGTGGCACGGATTATATTGTTGAATTTAGGAACTACGAGCAGGAGGAAGATAGAAACGAAATGCTTCACTGGGTTCTTTCACTAAGGTTCGTTCTCACAGGGCACCTTCTGTATTAACGCAGTGGTTAATGCTACCATATGTCTGTAGTTTTCTGTATGTGATGCCCACAGCAAGAATCAGGGCAAGATGTAGGATAGGAGCTTTCATACCACTTGATCATGGATCTCGTGTCATTACCCAAGAAGCGTGGCTGTCTTTTTAGTCCTGCTCCTGCATTCCTATCCTCCACCTTATTTCAAGCCCTGTGGATGGACACCGACTAGAAAGGTTTCCCAGCACCTTGCTCCATAAGTATTCAAGGGACACTTTGGAAGTAAGGCTAGTTTTTTTTTTTCAGAATGAGACCTCGTATTCCAGCTAAACTGACCAAGCCAGCAGAACTGGAAGAAAACTGAATGGCACTGATCCTCTGCACTAAGTCTTTGGCTCTCCTCCTGTAATCTGTTTTGTTTGCACAAAAGCTTGGGTTGCACAATAGATGGAGGGAAATCACATTACTGTGTACACTGTACATATGTTTTCGTTTAAATACAGATTATACTTAGTTGAGAGTTCTTGATCTTGAGGATAAGATGAAATCTTAAGCGGAGAGGTTTTATAAGGGATGGAATATAGTTCTGTGATTTAAAGGTGCTGTAGGGGAAGAGTTAGGGCACAGGTGGGATAGATCATGAAAGTAATACAGAGACAAAAAAAGTGGTATGAAAATAGTGAGGTATGCGAGCCCCTGTTTAGAAGAGAGTCTTTCAAAAATATCCAATTTTTGCCTCAAAAAGAGAGAGAAGAAAGAGGAGCAATGGACAGAAGTGTCAAAACAAGCACGGATAACTGGATGTTTTGGGAAGAACATGCTGTTCTCCATAATCCTAAAGAGGCAGACTGACGCACTCTCGCCTGCTTAAACCTTGCCTTTTTACAAGGACTGTTTATTGCAAATAAATCCTTGGCTAACCCATGGTCACATCATTGGCAGCGCAGTTTATGCTTCGGAGCAATCCATAATCCCAAATGATGGAACAAATGCTCATAGCACTCAGGTCATACTAAGCCTCAGGGCACAGCCCTGGCCTCGGAGCCCCCCACATTGCTTTGTGCAGCGTGTTGGAATGCTCCCTGTGCCATGCTGCCCCAAACGCATGTGGGAAGCACTGCACCATGGGTGGGAAGCAGCTGCTGATCCATCCTGGCTTCCTACCCTGTGGGTCCATTCTCCTTGCAGTCCTATCACCTGTCTTTGCATCCAGTGTAAGGTCCAGAGGGTTGGTGATGGAGATCCTACAGTGACAGGAGGCTGGGGAGGGCACAGTGCTCTGTCAGCACAAATACTGCATCACCTTGTGCTGGATTTTGTGCAGTGTCCATTTGCAACTAGTCTTGCAACTGATATATTACATAGAGATTTTACTACCAGTTCATTTTACTACCAGTTCACAGAGTCATAGAATGGTTTGGGTTGGAAGAGACCTTAAAGATCATCTAGTTCCAATGTCCTGCTGTGGGCAGGATTGCCAACCACTGATTACTGACTCTGTTCCACTAGAGTCAGTAATCTAACATCCTCAGAGATCTTCCTTCAGAAAGGAGGTGCTTGTGTCTGTTGTTCTACTCAGTTCCTCTCCCTTTGGCACTGTAAAATTAGGAGAATTCTGCACCTCCTTGGGTTTGCAGTTTCCTTTTTAAATGTAACTTTTAGGTGGATTTTCTCTACTGCGAAGTAAGTCGCAGTTGAGGTTGTAATTGATTTTATGTCCTTTAAGGTATAGTGGTGAGCAAGGTCACAGCTCGTTTTTTGGGACCTGTTTCAGCTGGACCTATTTGAGCAGAGCCAGGTCTCTGAGGCATATGGATCAATTTAGGGCATTATTGACTTAAATTGCTGTCAATGCTGCTAATAACCAGCTTCAGACATCTGTTTGTTCTTTTGGCTAAACGATAAATAAATGTCATAAATCTTTAGAAGGGCAAACACCGGCAAATACTGCATTAGCTCTGATGATAACTTTGATCATTACAAGGTTTATTTCGGGAGAAATGAACAATTGATGATTGTAATGAGAGCAGACACCCAGTCAGCAGCAGTGCTGGGAGGGGGCATCGTTCTGCAGAAACGCTTTCCGTCAGGCCTTCCCAATTTTCAGGAGATGGATTTCTATTCCCTCCAGTGTCAGAAGTGCTCTCTCGTGTGCCTGCCACAACTTCATTACAGGAATGCTACATCTAAAAAACGAAGTTGCACAAAGACCGAGCGAAGGATGCGTGAAGGTGGTGGGAGCCCAGAGGTGCCTTCAGGCTGTGCACTGTCTCCTGTTCTAACTCATGTGTGCGTGTGCTGGTGGATAACCAAGTTGTCAGTGCCATTACCCAGCAGCCTGCCACGGCTCCTCAGCTGCCGTGCACTCCATGGAGCTTGCAACTTCAAGGGATCAGTCTCTATGGGAGGTCCTTTGCCTTTTGACAGTGCTTGAGAAGACTGTAAGGTTTAATTATTCTCCACTGGCTCTTTCTGGTTCCTTATAACCTCTTTCGTGAGGCAACACAGGTCTTTTGAAAGCTTGAACTAGGAGAACTATTGTGGTATTTTTGTAGTGCTACTACAGTCTTAGGTGAAAGCAAGATGGGGTCTGAGAGGACCCACACTGCTGAGTACCAAGGGCTTCCTCTCATCTGAAGCTTCTGCTTTACACTTCCAGGTACTGTAAGGAGAATTTATTTTTCTGCTGGAGAATGCTCGGTCTGAAGCACCGTCAGAGCTTTCTGAAATGTGGTTGCTCACAAATCACTTCCCTGTGTAAGGGAATCTAAATCCCAGTCACCAGCCTATTGCCTTACCTACATGCAAACTTGAGGCTACTTGCAATGTAATGCAGCATCATGGACTCTCCTCCCTGGTGCCAACTGATCATTTTATTCAGTGCGTTAGAATAAGAAAAAGGGAATCCTACACATGATAACTTAGGTGAAAATGACGTGTCGATTACTCTGGCAGAGAAGTATTCTCTAAATATGCCTTTTTACTTACATATCTCAAATTGCTGTTGGCACCTCTTTGAGGAAGCAGGTTGTGTCTTCAAATAGAAGTTGTTAAGACACAATTGTGTCTTAAAATCTGTGTTTTCAGCTGTGCTACATGATGTGGGATGGGACGGGGGCAGATCTGTGCCTATGTACCCTGGCTTTCCCCATCCATCCTGCTCAGTAGCAAACCCCTTAGGTAGGAGGCTTTTTTCCCCCTCCAAACTATGCACGTAGTGGATTATTATTTCAGGATTTGGGGGCAGGAAGGTTTGATCCTCATCGCTTGGGGAGTTTGAGCAGCACTACCCATTGGAAGATCTCTTTGACTCCAGCTTTCACCATTGAATAACGATACAGAAAGCTGACGGACCAGTCTAAGAAATAGATTATTTCTTGCATTTCAGTCTCTGCCTCTGATAGTAAAACAGAAGGAAAGTTTGTATGTTTTTCTGACTTAAACACTCTAACCCAACCCTTTTAAAGTTCCATTTGTTGTTCTTTTCTCCCTATTTCAGCCTTTTTAACCTAGAAGGTCTGAGGAAAGGCAAAGCCCTATTTATCCAACTCCTAAGAATCACGAGGCTGAAATAAAAAAATTACTTATTTAAATGGAAGGTTGCAAGCTCTTGCAGCATTTTGTTTGATTCTCTGAAAAAATGCTTTGTCTTTCCCATTGTATTGGCTCCATTGACAAAGCCTGGGTGAAGGGGCAGAGGTGGGTGCTGGTGCTGCCTGCTCTGCTGTGCTGCAGAGCACTGAGTGGCCCTGTGGGTTTCTCCTTGTTAGTTTGTTTTAGGTTTTAGTCTGTTTCCTCATTTTCTGTAACTCCTTTTCCTTCACCTACTTTTAGGCCGTGGACAAGCAGTTAGAAAGCAGTTAGGATTCACTCTCAGAAATGGGACTTGTCAACTCATTGCAGTTGCAAAATGGAGCATGAAGAAAACAGAATGCTAGTTTTATGGTATAGCTGGTGAGCTAAAGGTTTGCACGGTGAGTCAGAGCAGGAAGATTCTTGAAGAGCATTATGACTTTCTCCATACAGTCCTTGGAGAAGTAACTAAGGTAGACTAAAGTAAAATAATTACTTTACAAAAGCTTCTTTTCCATCGTCCTGTAATTCATGTCTCCAAAAACATTACTGATGCATGAAATCAGGCTAGAGCAGTTCTGATAAATGGGAGAGCTGAACTTCTGTGATGATAGTAAGCCTTTGCTTCGAGCAGAGTTTGATAAACAAGGGCATGCAATAATGGTATTTGCAGCTTATATTAATTGACGGGCTTGGCTACACAGAGCCTTTTCTCAAACACAAGAGACTGCAAAGGGTCTGGTTTGGATGCACCACCACATAACAGTTTCTCACTCCAGACTATTTCCTGGCACTAATTGCAGAAGAATGAGCTGCTTGGTACTAAGACAGACACTGAAAAGAACAATTTGTGATTCAGAACCAAAGCAAGCCTTTTCTTTTCTCTAAAACCACTTTAGAAGATGCTTGGTAACATGAAATTATGCCAGGCTACCTTTCCTTATGTCTGTGAAAACATACTTTTACAAGCTACGGTTAGTAGAGAAGTGTTAAGGATTTGAATTTACCTTTCTGTACTGGAGAAGTTATTCTCTACATTGGAAATCCATCACTTTTGGCAAGTTCCCAGTGAAGTGATCTTAAAACAAGATCTCCCAATCATGGGAATAAGCCTACATACCTAATTAGTCCTTAAATGTCACTGCAGCTACTGTTGTTTTCAACCAAGCTGTAGCACCGTCACATGTAATGCTCTCATTTATAGCAT